TAACGTATAAAGGGGGGTGGCCAGGCAGCGACGTGTCTCGCAGCGATCACGCCCATTTTCACACCATAATTGATGACCACCGCGACGATATTTATTCGGGATCGTGAACTCAAGTCAATGAAGTGTCGCGCCTTGTCGGATACATGTGCTACCGCCAATTTCATTTCCGAGGGTCTCGCGAGACGTCTAAGGCTCCCTATAACAACACGCGCATTGCCAGTCGATCGGTGCAATCAATTCAATGAACACGACTTCGAAAGGTGTCATTCGAATCACTATTCAATCGCTACACAGTGAGTTCCGCAAGGATACATCAAGGCCGAGTCCTCGCGTTCGTGCCAGAGACCGAGCTCTCTGGCTAAATACATCGAGCCGAGTCCTCGCGTTCGTACGTTCACGCGCTCGTGCGCATCGGAGACCGAGCTCTCCGATAAGAGACATCGAGGCCGAGTCCTCGCGTTCGTCTAATCTTGAATGAACAATTATGCTTGACAATCCCCATAATATCAGACTTAGTTCCGTCGGAAACTTTCCCGCGAGATTCCATCACAATACCGTCCAATATAAAATTAGCTGATCCAGAGTTTCATTTACCGCGTCCTGTTGATTTGCGGATTGGTGCGGAGGCGACATTGTCGTTATTCTCCATAGGCCAGATCAATTTATCGATACGAGATAATGATTTATATCTACAAAAGACTTGTCTCGGCCGGGTCGTTGCGGGCGGAAGCTTGTCGCGGAATCAGCCGAAAACTGCGATATGTAAATTAACTGGTCTAGATCAACAGATCGCGAGATTCTGGGTGATTGAGGAGATATCTGATCCCACCGTTACGCCGAAATCTAACGAGGAACTCGAATGCGAAGAGCATTTCACTAAATTTGTTACTCGTGACCGCGACGGTCGCTATACGGGGAGACTACCATCTCGCAAGGATAAGATGAGCCTCGGCGATTCGCGAACCGACGCTCTCAAACGTTTAAATTCGCTCGAACGGAAGCTCGACTCAGATCCATTGTTAAGGGCCGCCTATTCGCAAGTAATACAGGAATATTTAGATCTGAAACAGATGATTCCGGTGAATAACCCTTCCAATGAAGGATTTTATATGCCGCACCATGCGGTAATCAAATCATCGAGTAGCACGACCCGGGTTCGTGTCGTGTTCGATGCATCGGCAAAAACGAGTAATGGCACATCGTTAAACGATAGGTTAATGGTGGGGCCGACTATTCAAGATACGTTATTCGTTCACTTAATTCGATTCCGTACGTATAAATGTGTTCTCACAGCAGATATAGAAAAAATGTATAGGCAGATATTGTTGCACGAGGATGATCAGATATACCAACGAATCCTCTGGCGCCAGAACGATCAAATAAAGACTTTGCAACTTAACACCCTTACATTCGGCGTATCCTCGTCGCCGTATCTGGCTATACGAACAATTCAAAACTAGCCGGTGATGAGCACGACGCGTATCCTGACGCCACTCGAGTTCTCAAAACGCACTTATACGTGGATGACTTACTTACAGGTACGAATACCGTTAGCGAGGCTCGCGAGTTACGGGATGACATAATCACGGTACTTTCTCGAGGCGTTTTAATATCCGACAATGGGCGTCGAACGACGAACGTATCATTAACGATTTAACCCCCGATGCGGTGAATACTATTCTCATCTATTAAAAACGCACGTGTCGCACCGCGTTGTTCAAATTCAAGAAATTACAGACTTACAAACTTGGCGACATATTCGATCAGAGGATAACCCGGCCGACGCGCTATCACGGGGTCAGTTACCGCAGGCTTTCCTGAATAACCAATCATGGTTTTCCGGACCATTGTGGCTAACGAAAGAGGAAGGCGAACGGCCTAACGGTATCATAGAATTAAAGAAATTACCCGAATTACGAAAAAATATATGTATAGCGACGGTTTCTAACGATTGTAGCTTCCTTAAGAAACATTCGTCATATTCACGATTATTAAAAATCACAGCATTCTGCCTACGTTTTCGACCAAAGAATACCTACCGCGGGCAGCTAGGCATAACGGAAATAAATGACGCGGTAACGAGAATTATAAAGATCATTCAAGAATCTTGTTTTTCACGCGAATTGAATGAACTTGCGAATGGGCGCCCGATAAAGGCAATATTGCCGCACTAAATCCGTTTCTCGACGAAAATGGGTTGATTCGCGTTGGCGGACGCCTCAGACTATCAAGATTAGCCTTTTCGCAAAAGCACTCG